TCCGTTCTTCACTGCCACAGTTAAAATTTGCGCCTTCTCCCTTTCATATTCTAGTATATGCCATGTGATTTATTTGTTTGCCTTATTTTTGAGAGAGTCTTCACATGGATTTCCCACTTGAATATTTCAAGGTTTTGATAGCACTGGCGAGAGTAGGAGTGAAGTTAGAGCAGATTTTAGAGGGAGAACAACCCTTAGTATGTTATTGGTCTTAAGAAAGTGCAGTTTAGAAAAACAATTCGATTTCATTCAGTATTTGGATTTTATAATTCATTGTGAACATTAGCATTGTTTTATCAGGTGTTTCTATGCTATATCTTAGTTTCAAGAGGTTTGATTTTATTCTCAGATGACATTTTATCACATCTTTGAGCTAATTACTTTTTCAGCGGTAACTTTTTTTTTTTTTTTTTTTTGAGACCGAGTCTAGTTCTGTCACCCAGGCTGGAGTGCAGTGGTGCGATCTTGGCTCACTGCAAGCTCCGCCTCCCGTGTTCACGCCATTCTCCTGCCTCAGCCTCCCGAGTACCTGGGATTACAGCTGCCCACCACCATGCTCAGCTAATTTTTTGTATTTTTAGTGGAGACAGGGTTTCACCGTGTTAGCCAAGATAGTCTCGATCTCCCAACCTCGTGATCCACCCGCCTCGGCCTCCCAAAGTGCTGGTATTACAGGCGTGAGCCACTGCGACTGGCCTTCAGTGGTAACTTTTAAAAAATAAATAAATAAAATAGACTTTATTTTTTAATTTTAATTTTTATTTTTTGACACAGAGTCACACTCACTTTGTCGCTCAGGCTTGAAGTACAGTGGCACGATCTTGGCTCACTGCAGCCTCTGCCTCTTGTTTTAATTTGCAATTTCCTAATAAACATATAATGTTGAGCATTTTTCATATGCTTATTTGCCTTCTGTATATCTGTGGTGAGATGTTTGTTTAGCTTTTTTGCCCAGTTTTAAAATTAAGTTGTTCATTTTCTTATTGTTGAATTTTACAAGTTCTTTGCATATTTTGGGTAACAATTCTTTTATCAGATGTCTTTAGTAAATATTTTCTCCCAGTCTGTGGCTTTTCTTCTTAGTCTCTTAACACCCTGTTTTCTTTTTTTTAAGTACTTATTACTAACTGAAGTGATCTTATTTGTTTACTGTTTGTCTCCTCACACTACAGCACAGGGTAACATCCACAAATGACCTGTTTTGTTCTTTTTTATTTCCTGGTTTTGTATGCAGTTGGCAAATATTTGTTGATTGAATGAATGGATAACAACTGTCAACATTTTCAGTTTGTTTTATTCTCATTGAAAATGGCATCAAACTGATTTGACTTCTTCCATCTTCTAATTTAAAACTTAAATTTCAAATTTTTACTGTAATTTTCAAAATTAGGGATAATGGTTAGCCACTTGCAGTAGTATGAGAGAAATTTCCACTGTGGTTCAGATGAAGTTGATTTAAGATATATAATTGCTAATCTGTACACTTGCTTTGCCCTCTCCAGAGCGGTTCAGATTTACTTTCCAGGAAGTAGTCACAGGACTGGGCAGTGAAAACGGGATGGTTTATGTCAGTCCCACAAAGCTTTATGGGATGGGAGCTACCTACTAGGCACTGGAAGGTCTCGGTATTTACACATATATCGCCACAGATAACACATACACACATGTTGTACCTTGCAAGGTAAAAACTGTATTACTCAAATTTTCTGTTCTTGACTGGTTTATTTTATTTTTATTTTATATTTCATTTTATTTCTTTTTGAGATAGGGTCTCACTGTGTTGCCCAGGCTGGTCTTGAACTCCTGGGCTCAAAGAATCCTCCTGCTTCGCACTCCCAAAGTGCTGGGATTACAGGCGTGAGCCACTGCACCCAGCCTTGACTGCTTTTTTGTTAGCTGGATTTGTTAAAGCTGGAAAGCGATCTGTGGTCTCCCTCTCTAGTTCTCTTCTGTTCTTTTTCTTTTCTTTTTTAAATATTTGTGGTAGTTTTTGGCTTTATCTATTTTGATATAATGATATTTGCTATGTTATGTTTATAACTACTATATTATTATTAATCTTTGTCTCAATTAAATACTTTTTGCCTTTTTTTTTTTTTTTTTTTTGGAGATGGAGTCTCGCTCTGTTACCATGCTGGAGTGCAGTAGCGTGATCTTGGCTCACGCAAACCTCCGCCTCTCGGGTTCAAGCGATTCTCCTGCCTCAGCCTCCCGAGTAGCTGGGACTAGGGCTGCGCCACCATGCCCAGCCAATTTTTATATTTTTAGTAGAGACAGGTTTCACCATGCTGGCCAGGATGGTCTCGATCTCTTGACCTCGTGATCTGCCTGCCTTGGCCTCCCAAAGTGCTGGGATTACAGGCATGAGCCACCATGCCTAGCCTACTTTTTGTCTTAAATTCAACTCTTTGAATATTTCTACCCTCCTCTTGTTTGTTTGAATGTTCCAAGTCTTCTATTTTTAAGTCTTCCTTTGCTTTTTAAATTGCTGCTCTAAAAAGTAACATATTTGAAAGAGGTTTTTAAAAATCCTTTCAGAAGATATTGTAAAAGGCATTTTCATTTTCAATTGCTGCATAACAAATCATGTCAAAATGTAGTAGCTTATAACTAAAATAATTTTATTATCTTTCATGATTCTGTAGGTTGACTTGGATCAGCTGATGGTTCTTTTGCCCCATGGATGTTCTGCTGGTACTGTAGTCATCTGGTAGCCCACTTAAACTAGAATGTCCATGACAGCTCATTCATATGGCTAGTGCCTTGGTAGGGATGACTGGGTTCAGCTGGAATATTGGAACAGTGGGGCATCTCCCTGCCACCCATCTTAGGCCTCTTCCTCACAAAGTGGCTTCTTACATGGTCTTTTTATGTTGCAAGGACCCCACCAGCAGGATAACCATAATTCTTATATAGTGGCTTAGGCTTCCCAAGAGTGCCAAAGTGCAAACTGCCAGGCCTCCTTAAAGTGGAGATATGGAACTGTTCCAACATCAATTCTGCCTCCTCCTGTTGGTTGAAGCAAGTCATATGGCCAGTCGGATTAATTGGGGGAAGATATAAATATCAGGAGGTGTGGTTCACTGGGGCTGTCTTTACCTACATTTTATGTGTTAATTCTGGAGTTTTTTATTTTTTTTGAGATGGAATCTCACTCTTTCTCTGAGGCTAGAGTGCAGTGGCGCAATCTCAGCTCACTGCAAACTCTGACTCCAGGATTCAAATGATTCTTCTGCCTCAGCCTCCTGAGTAACTGGGATTCCAGGCGCCTGCCACCATGCCCAGCTGATGTTATATTTTTAGTAGAGATGAGGGTTTCACCATGTTGGCCAGGCTGGTCTCGAACTCCTGACCTTAAGTGATCTGCCCGCCTCGGCCTCCCAAAGTGCTGGGATTAGAGGCATGAGCCACCACGCCCGGCAATATCTGGAATTTTAGGCTGTATTGTAAATTTAAATATTGTATGTCTTTTTAAAAAAAGTACTAGTACTTGGCAGGAGGATTACTGGAGGCCAGGAATTGAAGACCAGCCTGGGCAACCTAGTGAAATTCTGTCTAAAATACTAAAAATAATTAAAATAATAAAAAGTAAAATAAAAAAGCACTAGATGTTTCTGTTCATTTTATAAGTAAACAATAATTATTTGAATTAAACTAATTTAATTGGTCTCAGTTCATGCTGCTAGTCCTAATATGCTATTATTTTTAAGGAATTTGCCTTTTTTCCCAGTAAGTTACAATATGTTTTCAAATAATGTTTTCAGGATGTCTGTATAGATTATATAGTATCTTGAGTTTGTTCCAAATTTATAATGTCTTCCTCTTCACACAGTTTGGTTGGCCCTTTATTCTCAGGAATTTGTAGTTACAGAGAAACCTAAGGCTACTCCAATATGTCATCATTTGTTGGTATACCTTTTGGGAAAATGGTATGTAAAATTTTACCTGGAGGTGTTGGTGAATGGAACTGGAACATGCTCTACATTTTTGTCTTTTTTCAGGTTTTCTTTTTTTTTTTTTTTTTTGAGACGGAGTCTCGCTCTGTCGCCCAGGCTGGAGTGCAGTGGCGCGATCTCGGCTCACTGCAAGCTTCCGCCTCCCGGGTTTACGCCATTCTCCTGCCTCAGCCTCCCGAGTAGCTGGGACTACAGGCGCCCACCACCTCGCCCGGCTAGTTTTTTGTATTTTTTAGTAGAGACGGGGTTTCACTGTGTTAGCCAGGATGGTCTCGATCTCCTGACCTCGTGATCCACCCATCTCGGCCTCCCAAAGTGCTGGGATTACAGGCTTGAGCCACCGCGCCCGGCCCAGGTTTTCTTTTAGTATCATTTTTGTTTTATCTCATCTTCCATTTACTCTCGTTATTTAACACCAGAAGCAATGATCTATTGAATAGATCTTAGTTTCTAAATCTCCACTTGCCATTTTCTTGCTCTTCATTTTTATATTCTTGTTCTTTCATTATACATTTAGATTTTTTTCAGTAACTTCCTGAATATGACTTCATTATGAATTTGGCTTTTTGCTATGTTAATTCTAGTTTGTGAGTTTCCTTGAAATCACTCCTTATTT